TCACGTATGGACTGTATTAAAGTGTGTCTAAACAAGAGAGGTTATTCAGCCAGAGCGGCAAAAGCAGTCACGCTTGCTTTACGCAATTCTACGCGCAACTTGTATGACGACAAGTGGCATAGTTTTGAGACTTACGCTGTTAAAAAGGGATTTACAGCTAGGAATGCTACACATCCACAAGTGGCTGACTACCTTTGTTACCTACGACAAACTAAACGTCTAAAAGGCTCGACATTGTCAACATATCCTGCAGCTCTAAGTTCAGTGATAACTATGAGAACGGGTGTCAAGTAAACGAAAATGCCAGAGTTACTGGCCTTGCTACGTTCATTCCGATTGGAGGACCAGAAACAGAGATTTCGCGCTCCAGCATGGGATCTAAATATAGTGCTCCAACACCTCACAAGTGAGGCCTATGAACCACTGGAATCAACATCATTTGAATTTCTGACACAGAAAACATTGTTCCTGTTATCCCTAGCAACGGCAGCCAGGATGTCAGAAATTCACGCTCTAGATTATGAGAGAACACGTTTCGATGACAATCAAAACATAGTGCATATGGGACTGCGATGGGACTTTATCGCCAAGAATCAATTGCCAGGTCAACCAGACAGATTATTCCATGTCCCTGCACTTTCCTCAATTCTCGGACCTCATGATACGCTTGACCTATCATTATGCCCAATGAGAGCACTCAAAATCTATCTACAACAATCCAAAACGAGGCGACGACAACTCAAGCGGTTATTCATCCCTCTATCGACAGCGACTCAGACCGAAGTCTCTCGTACCACCATATCGATATGGATCAGAACTGTCATACTTCGTGCCTACAAGGCTGCAGGACTCGACCCTCCAAGAGCATCTAATCCCCATGAAATCAGAGCACTGGCTTCGACACTCGCTCTACACGGAAATTGCTCGTTGAATACCATCATGGAGGGCTGCTTTTGGAAATCTGACATGGTGTTTGCTAACCACTATCTGAGAGATATCACCACCGAGGACGTCTCAGGTATTCACCATTTCGGTCCCATGGTCCTCGCACAGCAGTTGACAGTCCCTTGTAGACGATGAGACATAGTTTCACGAGATTATTCTGTATATATCATACCAGTATTATCTAGCTTATAACTCTACGGAGTTTTCTGCTAATTATATACATATCTTAAGTCTACATTAGTCTTAAGCCCAGTATTGATGTTACATGTACATTGGGTCGCTTCTCCACTTGGAGTTGCTTTTATACTATGATTTTTATTATCATATTATCTAAATATTGTAGTACCCCCATCTATGGCAGCTGGTAGAACTTATGTATTATAGCAGCAGGAATTATCTTAATTACAGTGCCATTATGAAGTTCCCGTAGGGGGTTATTACATATATAAATCACTAATTATTGAAATCCAAAGTATTCTGTTTTTCCTCCTCTGTTTCTGTAGGATTCTACAAGCAAAAGAGCATGAATCAGGATAAGAAAAAATATGTAATTTTCTGAATAAAATTGATATTTTATACTTATCCGGACTCATGAGGTAAGCCCTCCCATCCTCCCCACATAACACTTTGGATTTCCCTGTAAATTCAAGTGTTGGGCTCGTTATACAGGAGAGAGGGAACCATGTGGGAAGAGGTGGCGCCTCCTTTCCCGCGCATTTGGAAAGGGAAGTAACTCGTGGTGAGTACTAATTAGTGATTTTACATTGAAGGGAGCTTCAATTAGGGAAATACAAGTGTTCCACTATGTTCACAAGAAGAAGAAGACAAGCAAAAGAGCATGAGTCAGGATAAGTATAAAATATCAATTTTATTCAGAAAATTACATTATAGTATGTACAGGAAGCCACAGAGTTGTTATTACAACAGATTGGTGAGTGGATTAAGTTAAATACATACTGTTTGTAGAACATGTTTACATAGAGTGAATGACCTTAGATGGAAGCCAGTAACGGATATACAGTGATAGAGATTAGGTGATTGAGATGTACAATAATAGAAATTAGGCAATGGGATGTACAGCATGTTTTGGTAAACACCATTGTTGGAGGGAAATTAGTTAATGCACCAAGCATTGGGAAGGAAGACACCCTGGTCCCTATTCAACTCCGGTTTGGAACGTTTGATGTGGATAGCTTCTAATCAAATTTAATCTTGAACATTGTGCATACATTTCATTTCACTGTGGATATCTTGGCTTGACGTTTCTTGGGTCATTCTGTGTATTTATGGCATCAAGGTCACATGAAAGTTCAGGCAACTGGTAGACACCTTGTACACAAAGTCATTGATAGGACATGCCATGAATTCTTCAGTTAGAGGTCGTTCTTGTTAAGCTGTTTTAGAACTTATTAACTTATTACAACTGAAAAAATGTTATTTTAACTGCCGATTCAAGGGAAAAAAATATCCCATTTACGATTCTTAAACCATATGTAGAAATGTATATTTCAAAGATAAGCTGAGCAGCTGGCTATAATTACATCAGAATATATGTTTCTTAAATCATCATGATCATTATCATCATCACCACCATCATCATCATCATCATTGTTATTGTTGTTACTTAATAAATCTTAAACTCTTTTAAAAACAGCAATTTTCGAGTGCTTCAGTAATGTTTATTACTGAAGGAATTAAACTGAGTTATTGTTACCCCCGCCGCGCGTATAGCGCGAAGCGGGGGATATAGTATTAGGCTCCGTCCGTCCGTCTGTACGTATTGGAATTGGAATATGTTAAGAACCGTTGACTGGATTCTTTTCATATTTGGTACCTAGGTTCATCACAGTAAAAGAAAGGTCCCAGTCAGATATGGTGACCTTGACCTTCATTTCAAGCTCACAAGGGGACTTTAACGTTTTACCCTTGTCAGCGAGATATCTCAAGGACCGTTCACTGGATTTTCTTCATATTCAACACCAAGCTTTATCGAGGGAAGGCACAGGGCCCAGTCGATTTTGGTGACCTTCACCTAATTGTTAAGGTCACAGCGACACTTTAAAGATTTCAGCATGTCAACCTGCATGTAAAGATTGTCAGCGAGATATCTCAAGAACCATTCACTGGACTTTCTTCATATTTGACACCAAGCTTCATCATGGGAAGGTGCAAGTTCCAGTTGATTTTGGTGACCTTCACATTATTTTCAAGGTCACGGTGACACTTGGAAGATTTCAACATCTTAAACTGCATGTTAAGATTGTCAGCGAGATATCTCAAGAACAGTTCACTGGATTTTCTTCATAGACTTCCCTTGAATGTTTTTGAATAAGCAATTTCTTTATTTCTAATTTTGCATATTTCATGCACTAACACATTCATGTCAAGGTCAAAGTGAGTCTTGAAAATATTTGTGCATTTGAACAACTACAGAGCAAGATATCAAGAGAGGTTGACTCGTCGTGTTTTTGTTTACATTTAACTTCATCTTAAATTACGACCTTCACTTTCATTACTTTTTAAATTTGATTTGATAATTAGCGGCAGGGGATTATGTCACCTTAGTGACAATGCTTGTTCATGTTTGTAGTAGTTGCCTATATGAAATCAGGGCGGTGGGGTAATCTAATGGTTAAAGCATTCACTCGTCACGCTGAAGACCCGGGTTCGATTCCCCACGGGTACAATGTATGAAGCCCATTTCTGGTGTCCCCCACCGTGATATGGCTGGAATATTGCTAAAAGCTGCATTAAACCATACTCACTCACACACTATATGAAATCCTTGGGCATGAGGCGCTATCCAGCTGTAACACATCTTTAAGTCAACAACATCCTGTGTGCAGTTCTTGGCAGTACACCAAATAACTATTTTTAAAATTTTAGTTGACTGAAAATTGATACTTTTATCATAAATGCCTTACTTTGATTTGTTGAAAGTCATGTTTGTTGCAGTTTGGCCGTAACTTGTCATTATAATGTTTTGGCGATCAAGAGCACAAAAGCCTTGTAGGTGACTTGTCAAATAGTTCCATACATGAAAATATGCAGTCAATGTTATCAGCTGTACCAGAGTTCAATGCATCATTTCATTTTTAACATTAAAACTTGTGACTAAAAGAACACAGTACTGGAATATATTATTCCTGATAAAATGATAGTTTCAGATATAATTTGGATTTATTTTTATGATGTCTGTGTGAAGCAATATATCTTGTCACAAGTAAATACTGCTGTCCGAAAACTTTTGATGCCTGAAAACGTATGATCTGATGAACGTATTTTTCTGCTCATAATACTTGAATGTTTTGTTTTAATGTAAAATGCTGACTCTTCTAGAAGGAGACATGCTCTATGCTTGTGTGCACTCTATACTCAAAATTGTTTCATTTTAAGAAGCTGAGGATGTCTAATGTTTGCAATATGGATCTTCATGATATTGACATCATGACTATTTTCTGCAAGCTATTTCCACTATGTTTTAGAAACTGTTCTCTCACCTGAACTCTCAGAGATTCTATCTGATATGTGGAGACTTATATGAAGTAAAATATTTTATCATTTAAGTATTTGTGACAGAAGCTTATGACTTGAAAACATGTGATACTCTAAGGATATAAGTAAGCAAATTTGATTTTGCACTGCTGCACATGAAAGCTAAATTTCTGATGCAGAATCATTGTTGTTACCATTATTAAAAGTCCAGTTATTATCTAAATAATCCATGGAACCTCTATATGTTTTTGATGTTAATATGTGTCTTCAAAGGGAAACAGTAGTGTAAAAATTTGAAAATTTGATTCATCACAAATTTGTTTTAATATGGGAAATATCAACCCTGTCACATTAATTTGTTGAGCCTTTTTCACTAAGACTTGGCTTGTGATTAATCCTCTGTTTTTTGTTTGTTTTTTGTTTTGCTTCTGTTATGTGAATAAACTTTCAGGTCATTCAATGACATATGAAAACCATAAGCATATCATTAAATGCATACAGGTTTGGGGGGTAATGTTTTAATATAGCACATCCCAACCAAGTCACTATGTAATGATGAGTGAGTGTACATTTGTGTTTCTAGGCCCCTTCACTGTGCCAGTAGATGAGGAGGTGGAGTCCCAGCACATGAAGCACATCCAGTCACCACCAGGTATGATCAAAGCATTTCAGGAGTAGATACCAGTGAAATCCATCTTTCTATGGCTGGAGTGTCTTTGTGCCCATGTATTCTAAAACACATTTCAACTACAGTCCACGTTCATCACATTCTGCCATGAGTATGGGAATGTCTCTATGTCAGATGTCAAGGTTGCTATCATATGAAAGATCTTGAACAACAAAATTTTAAAGTTCAATGTCCTTTAAAGGAGAATCCGAACGAAAACAAAACTTTTGATATATTGTAAAGGATATTCTAAAAGTCACCTTCCATGATTAAACTTGATCAAAAAGTTTGTAAAATAGCAATAAAAACACAAAAAACGTACTCGTATTTCCGCCTCTTACGGAAACACCTGACAGTCAATGAGCAGAGGGGGTATCACGTGACATGACGTCATATGTGCCTGTTGCTGATGGCTGCCTCTGATTTTACCTCACAACTTAACAGTGTCCATGGATTCTGAAGCAGTAAAAGGTGTTCCTGATGTCATTTCTGAAATGGATATTAGACCGTATCAATACGATCCGATTTTACATCTTGCAAGACAATCTTCCACTGAAGATGAAGAAGAAGAATCAAGCGAAACGGAGGCACCGCTTCAGTCAAAATAAATTTTAAAATATACTATATCTTTTAACAAGAATACTATTTGACAGCAAAATGTGATACAGTTCCAACCAGAAAACCCACCCCTATAAGTATATGACAAGTCCCTAAGAAATATATTTTTTGCAATGTGAATGCAGTTCCTTTTGTGTCAAATAACGTAGCAAGTCTCCACACCTCAGCCTGGTCGAGCAGAGATAATAATCGCGACGCAGATAAGTTATTCCCCGAAAACAGGTGAATTATAAAATACTTGTCAGGACAATGTATGTTTCCCCAGTGTTTGGTTATGGAAATAGTTATGGTACTCGGCCATAGCCTTAGAATGGCATCTTGTCAGCCAATGTGAACACAGAATAACTTTCACGGCACACACTACTGACAAATAGCGAGTCTGATGCCGACGTGTGTAATTGGACAAAATGGAAGACAATGAAAGCAACAAGTACTTCATGATTTGCCGTTGTATTGGCAATGTTTCAGGTAGTCTGCAGCATTTAGGGCTCCAAACAGAAAAGAACGTCATAGCGAAACATTTTAAAGCTCATGTGAAATCTCTTACTGATTTTGATATCTATCTCATGGGTACCAGTGGAACTGCACCAGCTACAAAATGCCCCAGCAAATTTGGTCATTCATTCTAATTTGGTCAAATTTATTTTAAATGATTAAATATATGCCGTAAATGCATAGTTTGGTCAACTTTGATATTATGTTCTTCATATAAAAGTTATTAAGAAGTAATATTTCTGATAAATGTTCCATCAGTAAACTCATAACTATGTATATACTTTTATATGAAGAACATAATATCAAAGTTGACAAAACTATGCATTTATGGCCTATATTTAATCATTTTAAATAAATTGGGGCATTTTAACTACCCCCCTGGGGCAATTTGACCAAAACTCCGGGGCTATTTGATGAAATTTGCTGGGGTAATTTGCAGCGGGGGCAATTCGACTGGCAATCGTACTTGATTTAATTTATGTTAAAAATAGCACTGACAGTCAGCTGTAACAGGGAATGATGGAGTATTAATGAATCTCGTGGGTAATTTTTCCTTCTTCAGCCTAGCTTTGGGATTTGTATGCCCCATGTGTGCTTGTCTCTTTCATATATGTCCGACTCGGAATGATCGGACCATTTCTCCCGCCTAAGTCTATCTCTTTATTTGGAAAATGGAAGAAATGGTGGCTTTCCATTGTTCGATGATTCCGTGCATCACCAGGCAACATAATACACCATCGTACCATTTACAAAAATGACAGAAACAACACGATATGTACTACTGTAGCGCTTGGTCTTTGGCAATATGGCGGACTCCAGGCACATTTGACGTCACGAGCGGAAAGGTCACGTGGGTTCCAGTGAAATATGCATAATGGCCAAAGCTGAGATTTACAGAAACTGTTTTCGCTATTAAAACATAATTATGCATAATTTTTAATTGAAAATTTGGGAATATGTTTCTGATGACTGTATCTTTCACCCAGCAAATTATTGCAATTGACTCGTATTCTCCTTTAAGCTCTTACTTATGAGATTTCTGGAAACTGCCAGTACTTTATATGGTAAATATGTATCAAGTATTTTCTGAATTCTGTTTGTAATTGCTTAGTGTAATCTGGTAATAGAGGTGCTATAAATAACATGGTTTCCTGCTGTATTGACCATTTCTGAAATCTATTATTGTTGTTTATGTATGCAGATTATGACTTTCCAAGTAGTGTAACCATCCTTATCTCATATATTATGCTTTTCTTGAGCCAAATCGCTGAAGTGCATATTTATAATGATGATGAAATATGCCTCCTCACTCCTAAATTTGGAAGACAAATATGACATGATTATGTTAGAAGTTGATCTTCATCTCGCCCATAATCACGCAGACTCGTTGAAGTGAGGTTATTGTACCATAACCAACTACTGAGAGTCCATGCCCCCTGATATGATACTGTTAAGTTTACCACCTATTCTTAACATATGGATCAACCATAGACAAGCAGTAATCAAATTCCATGCGCGTCTTAAAATCCACAAAATCTTTGAATAAAAAGGAGGTGGTACCCCGTTCATCTACATCAAGAGGATTGAAGAGTTCCCAGGAGTTAAAATGAACAGTACATATGAATCCAAATCCATAGACACAATTCCCTCCCAACCATCCCCACGCTCCACTAATTTTGGCAATGAGTTGAAAATGGAGAGAGTGAAGAGGCATAGCCACTGGGTTGCTGGTGCGCATGTGCAGGAGGTGCCGGAAACAGGGTCCACTCAGGGATGACTTTTACATGACTGCCATAGACTTATTAGCATGTCATGTAACCAGATTTGTCTTGCTGAAACACACTTTAAACAAATGCACACATTAATTGAATGAGGTCACATGGGTGCATGTTGCTGTATTGCTCTCAGATCCTACTATTCTCCTTTTGTTAGGGTTTCTGGAGCTTAATTTCCTAGTCAATACCTGATAACCAAGATCACTGAATACTCAAGTAGGAGTTTTTATGTGTAACATATTGTGAGTTTCTTCATTGCATGTTACAGTTGGGATGACATATGAGGAGGCTGTGGCTCGCTTCAATGCCAACATCTCCTACAGTGGACTGCTGCATGCGGTGACACAAGATGTAAGTTTGTAGCAGTTTGTTAGAGGGAACACAGTTCATTGTCCTCCAGTGAGTATGTCAGGGTCATGGTTGTTAGGATCTGTTATTTGGACATGAATGACTGCCTCATGTTTCTGCTGAAACGTACATGCTCTTGTTTTTTTTAAGCCACCATGTGTTGAGACTTATCTGGCTATCTTTGGTAAACCCCTCAAACTGAAAATTTGTGCTAAAATGATTGCTGTCTTGAGAGGAATACTGTATAGCTGTTAACTAGGGGAGATAACTCTCACGGATAGCATTTGGCAGACCAAAATGAAGAAAACAACACAATCTTTGGACTTAAAACATATCAATATCAACCTGTGGATTCAGAAAACAAGATTCATGAAAAAAGGAAATCAAGGTTAGAGTTAGTGTTTTAAGAATAATTGACACTGTTGATAATGTTACAATATCCATGGTCTTGTGTGAATTAAAGTTCACGCATTGTTTACAAACATCTCATTGCAGCTTTTAAAACAATGTTCCATTGTTTATCTTTTCAAAGGGTATGATTATATAGTTGAAACCAGGTCATCACAATATATCACAGAACTCAAATAAAAATATACATTTTCATTCTTGATTAGCATTACCAAGTGGGATTTAACACAAATGAGATTGACCCAGATATATTCATGACTGATTCTGTCCTCTCAATCAAGTTGACAAGAATAACATTTAGCCTCTTGTAGCAGCCGCATTTTTCAGACTTTATGAGCAAGAGTGCCTTGGTGCTATCTTCACACAATACCAAGTATGTAATAAGTTGAGTTACAGCTCTATACCACATTTCAAATTAATATATTTCTTGTCATAAAACTGGTCCTGTTGTTTTGGCCTAACTGTCCTGACCCATCTCCAGAAGTAGTAGCTGTGCAAAGGACCTGTAGTGAGGATATTGAAGATAAGAACTTACTTGCACCAGGGATAATCTACATTAGGGATAGGTTACCTGCTTGCTTTCTCTACCATTTGTACTAATTAGTATGTGCCTCATCATGCTCCAACACACACAGAGACTTGGTTCGTTCCCAGCGTAACTTCAGTTGTGTGGAACAGTACTTCAGCCAGTTTATAATATCAGTCGGAAACTGTCGGCAACTATCGGAATAATACTTGGTAGGTTACACTTTATATGTAGTTGCAAGTAACAGAGCACAAATTGGAGCCCTGTCAGATGTTCTTTTTGCAAGCATAAGATATATTATCAATATGATCATGCATGTTTCCTTAAATATTTACGCAGATGTGTACAGTGCTATTATGATATATGTTTGAATTGATCTGTTACGCAATTAAAATGTCTCACTATGTTTCAATGCTTTTCTGTTTAGGTTGAATGCTTATGAGTTCCCCTTGCCCCTCTCTCAATTTCTAAATTATCTTCCAAATTTTACAATGAATGAATGAATAGCAAGAATTAAGAGCATGAATTATATGTGAATGAATGTAAGAAATAAAGAAAAAGAACCAAAGAAAGAAATTCATATGTGAATGAATGAAAGAATAAATAATACACCCCGGCCAACCCTCCCCAAACATTTTAAAGAGCACAAAACTATCACTAGAACACATGTGTTAACATCAGTTGTCAATTTTTAAATCTACTTTGAGACACTATTTACATTAGTAATTTAGCCTTCAGATATCTTCCTGCATGTGTGGGATGGCATGGACATTGACAGAATGTTAATTGACACTGTCACACACCCCTCAAATACAGCAAGTTTAAACCTATCACAAAGCCTTGTAAAGACCTTTCCAGTTTTGTCAAATACTAAGATCAACAAGAAAGAAAGAAGTTTTAGAACTAACACTCAAGCATCACAGGCATCAATGGTGGATCAGAACAGATCGCCGATATGTCATATTTCTAACACACATCAAATACACCCTAACAATTTTTCTAAAATTATAATACCTTTCTACTGAAGGGATATTCCCCCTCATAAAAATTAAAGGTGTATGTGAAAGAATGTTTTTAGAATAATAACTGGAAACACTCAAACATCGCCCTATAGTATTTCAGGGGCGGATCAGATCAGATCGGTGATATGTCATGTTTTTCAAATACACCCTAACAAATTTTTTTAAATTATGAAACTATCACTAATTCTTGCGAACACCTTTCAACAAAAAGTAAATTTCCCTTCTAAAAATTGAACGAATATATGAAAGAAGATTTTATCAATAGAATTTAGTCTTTCTTCACTGTGTACCAAGAATGGAAGCCAGTGAGCTACAACATGCCAACTTGAAACTTTACTACAAATCTACTGTACTAATACTGACACGAATAATAATTATTTGACTTAAAATGAAGTGACAGAATTAGTGACATAATTATCTTCTACATGTAGGTTTTAAGTTGTCACAACACTCAGCAAATGTACTCAGCTCTTGAAAATAAATCAGGCTCAATCATAAAAATTAAGCTTCCGCCATTTTGGTTAAACTGGTCATGTGATGAGTCGAGGCATACCCTAAGAGGCCTTTTGAGGAGAGACCACTCCCCGTCTTCTATTCTCCCTGCTTACTCTCTTAAATATGACTTCCACATTAACAGCTGTGATGACAGACCATACGTTTGTTTGACAGGGTCTGTTTGCTCAAAACAAGGAGAAGCTCATCAATGTTACACTTTCCAAGCTGCTCGAAAGGGAAGGAGAACAATCAATTGTCCCTGCCCTCGCTTTGGAGGCTCAGTTTCATGCCCTACGCAGACTCGTTGCTTCAAAAGCAGGATTTGTGGCCTTCACAGCACTGCCAGGGTAAGAACTGTTTCATCAACAAAGGGAACTTTATTTGGATCCATTTTGTGTTGAACTACTAAGGTAGAATATACGTTCAGGTGATTTGTCAGGTTGTGGAAAGTAAGTAAGGATGGGGAAAAAGTAACAATGGGGAAAAAGTAACAATGGGGAAAAATGTTTTCCTTCATGCTAACCACTGTTCAGCCATGTAATACCAGGGATAAGAGTTACATGACACTGAACAATCACAAGCTAGTGTTAGATAACATACTGTAGTACTTGACTATCCCAATGTTTGTTTTCTGTCATTTCATACACAGCAAAACATTTTGAATACAAAGTATAGTGATACGTGATATTTAAATAGATGCCAGCACTGTTGTTGAACTTGTTGTTGAGACAATTGATGCTAGCTGATATAAGGGAGTAAGTAATAGATAAAGGATGAGTGTCAGCGTAAGTGAGTTTAGTTTTACGCCGCACTCAGCAATATTCCAGCTATATGGTGGCGGTCTGTAAATAATCAGATCTGAACCAGACAATCAAGGGATCAACAGCATGAACATTTGGGAGATGATGACATGTGTCAACCCAGTCAGCGAGCCTGGCCACCCGATCCTGTTAGTCACCTCAAAAGCAGTGTAGGAAAGATGTAGAAAATCTAGCCTGTCCACAGGACTGGCTGGTCAAATTTTTTACCAGTCCTGCCAAAATCTAGCCTGTCCTCCAAATATAAATAAAACACCATTTCAAGACTTAAAACTGGTTTGTTTTATTTTAAGCTATAATTTAATATGCACACACAGAGCTTGGACTGTTAAATCTCTCCTAGTGGAATCATCTGGTTACAACATGAGAGAACTAGTCTTCAGACAAGTCATCAACATCTCCATCAAGATCTGAAAAGTCAGAGTCATAGTCTGAATCTGCATCCTTGCCAGTTGCACATTCAACATTGACTAAAATAAGAATAAATTCGCTCAGTCATAGCAGCAGACCGACGGATGAGGGTCGCGCAATATTGGTTTGAAATTGGGGGAAACAAGAAACACGTTTTCCTATTTGTTGATTCTGTGACAACCGGCCAATCACGCACTTCCTTACTAAACTCGTTTCAAGAAGCTAAGGGAGAGAACTCTGTTCTTATAGCAAACATATCCCATCGATTTCATTTGCGATAATTTTATCTGTTTGATTATTGTCCCCAGCCGCAGCGAGGAACGGGGGACTATGTATTCAGCTACGTCCGTCCGTCTGTCCGTACGTACGTCCCGATTCTTGTTAACGCGATATCTCATGAACTGGTGTACCCAATGTCTTCAAATTTGGTGGATTACTCAGACACCAGTCGATTTGCGTGACCTTGACCTTATTTTCAAGGTCACCACGACACTGACCACTTTTCCAACTCTTGTTCACGCGATATCTCATGAACTGGTGTACCCAATGTCTTCAAATTTGGTGTCAGCCTACATTGGGGGATTACGCAGAAACCAGTCGATTTGCGTGACCTTGACCTTATTTTCAAGGTCACCACGACACTTTGACCACTTTTCCAACTCTTGTTCACGCGATATCTCATGAACTGGTGTACCCAATGTCTTCAAATTTGGTGTCAGCCTACATTGGGGGATTACGCAGACACCAGTCGATTTGCGTGACCTTGACCTTATTTTCAAGGTCACCACGACACTTTGACCACTTTTCCAACTCTTGTTAACGCGATATCTCATCAACTAGTGTACCCAATGTCTTCAAATTTGGTGTCAGCCTACATTAGGGGATTACGCAGACACCAGTCGATTTGCGTGACCTTGACCTTATCTTCAAGGTCACCATGACACTTTGCACGCTTTTAACTCTTGTTAACGCGATATTTCATGGACTGTTGTACCGAATGTCTTCAAAGTTAGTGACAGCCTACATTGGAGTATTACACAGACACCAGTTTATTTAGGTGACCATGACCTTATTTTCAAGGTCACCAGGACACTTTGAACACTTTTCAAACTCTTCTTAACATTGCATCTTATGGACTGTTGTACCCAATGTCTTCAAAGTTAGTGACAGCCTACATTGGAGTATTACACAGACACCAGTTTATTTAGGTGACCATGACCTTATTTTCAAGGTCACCAGGACACTTTGAACACTTTTCAAACTCTTCTTAACATTGCATCTTATGGACTGTTGTACCCAATGTCTTCAAATTTGGTGACAGCATACATTGGGGGATTAACCAGACCCCAGTTGATTTTGGGTGACTTTGACCTTATCTTCAAGGTCACCACGACACTTTTCACACTTTTAACTCTTGTTAACGCGATATCTCATGAAATGTTGTACCCAATGTCTTCAAATTTGGTGACAGCATACATTGGAGTATTACACAGACAACAGTTTATTTGGGTGACCTTGACCTTATCTTCAAGGTCACCACGATACTTTGACTGCTTTTTAAAGCGGATATCTCATAAAACATTGCACCCAATGTTTCAAGTATGTTGACAGCCTACATTGGGTGATTATGCAGACACCAGTCATTTCAGGCATCTTGTATGTGACCCAAAAATAAAACGTAGTAAATATAGATATTCCATTCTTTAGCGGCGGGGGACATTGCCATATCAGTGGCAAACACTTGTTCTAGTATCTTTTGGCAGTAAATATTCAAAAAGGTTATAATATAATAATGATTATGTCATTGGTTTGCTAAAACTGACCCGACATGAGGACGGACCAGATGTTTTTTTAACCCGTCCTCCACAAAATTCACCCGTCTCGGACGTTGGGACAGGCTATCTTTCCTACACTGTCATAAGACAAGCATGAGTTACTGAAGATCAATATTCTAACCTGGATCTTCACGGGTGAATGTCAGTGCTTCAGCGGGATGAAAACATACTGTCATGAGAACAGACAACTTTGTCTTGTATTGGCACTCCTCCGCTTCCCAAGAACAACAGCAATACTCAAGTATTGAGAGGTGCTACCACTAATTATGCCTGTTATGAATTCATTATCTGAGCATGAAATGAATGATGACAAACATACAGGCATGGCATTATACCTTGTAACATGGATTAGCAATTGTTGTATTATATGCAATTTAGTTGCATGGTAAATCAAAGTTTTTGATGTTTTGACTGAATTTATTTGTTGGAAAAATAGAGGAAAAATAATCTGACACATATGTGCTGTATACTAAAGTACATAATTGTATATACACAGCAGAGGATGTGGTCTCTCTTTCACATTTTCTTTTGTGTACCGAGCATTACCTGTAAACCATTCAATAACTGTATCTGCCTTTCCTTGAAGACCAATTTGTAGCCGTGGGAATGCACCTGATAAAACAACAAATTTGCTAAGGCAAAATGGCAATGAGTTTCAATATCTTTCACATTGTCTAATTGTTTTGTAAGCTTCCAGTCATTAGTTACTGACCAAGGGTCAAAATGTACTGTATGTTTTCAAAGTTTCTAGGTATCTTGATATTTATGATAATGTGGTCTCTTCATAGGATGAGGGAGAAAGTTGGTCTGAAGATAGTGAAAGCTCTAAAGAGGAATGACAATGGAGTTACTCATGCCGCACTGGACATGTTGTGTGCTCTCATGCAGGTCAGTACAAACTGTGAGCCAGAAATCAAGTCAATGTGGTCTACCTTTACATAACATATTTGTGCAATATATTATTAATACAATGTATACTGAAAATTCACATTCAAATTATAGGGAAATGATGTTATGAAACTGGAAATGCATCTATATTTGGTCACTTTGTTATTATGTAGCACAGTCATGGGGCCTTCCTTCTTAAAGTTCTTTGAGGCAACAGGCAATGCATGAAATCCTCTGTTCAATTCCACAGTGATACTTGCCAAAGTGACTTTATAGGTTTGCTAATTTTTGACATAACAAACGCAAACAATAGTTATCATTGTTATTAATTCTAAGAAAACTACTTTTACATCATTGTCCTAATCCTGTATATTGTTATGAGGATTTCTGTTTATTTGAGACATTTCTTATTTCTTGTATGTAGTCATCTTTAATTTTGTGATTACGAGAATATAGTCATTTAGGCCACAGAACTTAGTGGGTTTATTCTGGGTTAGTTGTGTGTTATCTCATACCACTAACAGTGTTGTCCCAGAAATCACTGAACCCTGTTGTTGTAGGGATTCATTGAATATCCTGTATTAACACATATTTTGTAATTTTTAAGCCAATGCATGACAACTATGATTTGCGACAAGAGCAGCTTAACAAGAAAGCATTGCTGTCCTCAAGGAAGTTTCTCCAGGAGCTCCTAGAGCTCTTTAACCAACATGTGGTAGGTTGCTGAATACACTTTCACTTTGTGTGTGATCTTTCTGTTTCTTGCAATATGATTGCATTTTGGGACAATTTCTTTTGCATTGTTGTCCCAATAGTGTAAACAAAATAAGATCGACTATATTCACTACGACAATGCAATGCAAAGTCTTCCGACTGCTACATTTATCGTAAATCTTAAGTTTGTGCTTTTAGTTTTTAACTACACTCATCATCCACTTTCATAAGCTGTTATAGGTGAAGATCATTGCAACCTGCAATCATAGTTTACCAGTGTGTGTTGGGGGTCTTTCATATTAGTTTCTCCATTTAGACCAAGAAAAACTGAAACTTTGGCTGAACGGTATTAACTATACATGCTTCTGTACATCTGCATAGTGGGTAAATGTCACTGACAACGATTGGAAGCACATACATTCTGTAGTTAAAAAAATTGATTATAGCTGAGCAGAATCTGTCTGTATATCATAATTTGGAACCAAATGAAAGATGTATGTTGCCAGCCAGAGGATTTATGGCTATGATGTAATAGAGGTAGTGTTCTTAGAATTACTAATGGTATTATGTTAGTCGTTTTTTGTACAAATTTCTAGTCAATGCATATGCTTGTCACCAGCACAAAGTTAATATGTCTTCAACTATTACTTCAAAATTCATGTGAGCCACAGAACCTCTTGTTTGAAGAAAATATTACTGTTGTCTTTTTGCTTACAAATCTGGGGAATTGTTGGATCTTAAAAGTTGTATTTATTGAGGTGAAGGTAAGCAGTGGCTTTGTACTGCAAGTACATAAACACTTAAAGTTTTGGAGAAGTGATATTTAAGGGACCTTTCTTTGTGCATGTACTTGCAAACATATATATTTTGGTTTGTTTCAGATTATCATGTTTAATTGTCTTTGTGCTCTATTTGAAATTCAAGTTCTATTCAGTTACTGTGACTTGAGAAGAGATTGTGCTTTTTGTTGTTACGTCCAAGAAGATGTTTGTAGTAGAAAATTAGTATAGTATGTCATCCTATAATAATATTGCCACTTAGGTCCACAGCACTGGAGCCCTTGTGATATCAGCCATGCTAGACTTCCTCACCTTTGCACTCTGTGCACCATACAGCGAGACTACAGATGGTGGCCATTTTGATGTCCTTTTGGAGATGGTTGCAGCTAATGGCAGAATTGTCTTTAAACTGTTCCAGGTAGGTGCCCAGAGCAAAGTAGGTAAATAAAGTTCAATCCAATTGTTCCTTTCTGACCCTTTTCTGTCTATTATTCTTCATTTCCAGACGGATGTTTAATTCGGCTATTTCTATATCCTGACACAACATTTTGTAACGTCCTTTTTCTCTTTTCTGGTACCCTTTGTCTTGGTTCCCAGTCTGAGTTATCTGTCCCTGGTCTCTCACTGTACAGGGCTTGATTTAGTGTTTTGTTACTTGCACTCGTGCAACCCAATATTACAAAGTGCAACCTAGTTATTAGTCTAACTTGCACCAGGTGCAAGTCAATTTTTGAGACTTCAGCTGGAAAACAGAATGATGAGGAACTGACTTGGAAGAGTGGCTCTGATGACTGTATGAGCAGTGACTGAAGGACTTACTGTTCATGAAATTTTAGGAAGTAAACTAATCTTGTCAGTCCCAGATTTCTTTTGTTATAATGTTCTAAACTATCATTACCAAAATTCAAACATCATATTTTATACAAGATTTTATATTGAGCAGCAGGTGCAACCTGATTTTGGCTGATGCAACAAGGTTTCTATCTAAGGTTGCACTGGGTGCAAGTAGGTTTCATTTCTTTAAATTGATCCCTGCTTTAGTTCTCATTGCACAAGAGTATATTGATTCAGTAAACATAATCTGCTTTCAAAGTGCTGGACTGTGAATGTTGGTTCAAACAGAAAACCAAATATTGTAAGAAAATACTGCATATGACCGTCTATAAGCGGAATTTTGAGGACCAAAAAAAGCAGTCTGTAGAAGGGGGTTGTCTTATCTATGGGTTACGCTTTTGTCAAACTTTTTTCCAGGGGTAAGAAAACAACATCGTATCACTTCGCGTGAACAAACAACAGAAGACGACTTTGTCAGTAGAGACGTCAAATTTGCAATTAAACATCACTAGACAAGATTATTTACCTTTTAAGTTCTAAGTTGTTTTTGCTGGGCATTGTATTATTTGCAGGGATTAAGATTACCGTGTGTATCTGAGCCGGAAATAGCAATCAGCTGCGATCAAGTTCAAACATGCACAGATAATATAACGGGACAAATTCTGACGCAGTCATCAATAAAATATAATACAGAATACTATTTTTTAACCCAAAGAAATATATCCTAGCATTGTGAAATTTTAGTTACAGTTTTTGCTCTATAAATTAATTAAGATTAAGATTACCGTGTGTATTTGAGCCGGAAATAGCAATCAGCTGTGCACACGTTTCCAGGCGATCAAGTTCAAACATGCACAATAATATAACGGGACGAATTCTGATGCAGTCGTCACTAAAATATAATACAGAGTACTATTATTTAACCCAAAGAAATATAACCTAGCATTGTGTAATTTTAATTACAGTTTTTATGTAAAATATATATAATCAACACTAAGGTTATACGGACCCTCATGAACGTGGTAAGCAGAAGTTGTACACTCATGGAATGGGGTAAAATAAGGAAGCCATTTAAATTCACACATTTTTCCCGATGTTACTGTAAACTAGCAGTCAATGGAAAACGAGGCAGTAATCAGTTGGTGATTGTTGAATGGGGTAAAATAAGCAAGCCAGTTTGTTGCTACAATAAATATGATATTTAGCAAAACAAAATATATTATCCATTTTCTGTCAACTACACTTCATTTCGATGGCGTGAGTAGGCGCAATATGATTGTGAATTCTTTGAATAATGTGGACCAAAGTTATAATTATTGGTAACTGCCAGTTGTCTGTGGTCTGTGTTTGCCGCGATTAGGACCCCATCGCGGGGGATCGACGTATGCACGAAACATACCATTTTGACACTGATTTTAAGGGTCAAGTTTGGGGGTCGTCTTATCCATGGGGTCGTCTTATAGACGGTCATATACGGTATGTCAACAGGTTAGCTCTCTACAGTTGGGGTGAGCTACCATAGATAAGTTAAAGGGAAACAAAACTGCAACTTTCAGTCAGCAGGCACCAACAAGCTACAGACCAGCAAGTGAGTGCCCCTTAGAAAACCAGGGGAATCCTCATGAATTCTCAAAATTGTTCAGATTATGCTTACGAAAACCTTTCAACTTGCAAATTAATGCATTCAAAACAGTGATGATTCTTACTTTTTCAAGCAAACAGCAAACAATACAATTACTACTCCCATCTTATCATCCATGTTTTATTGTAGAAGCCCTAGACTTGTGTATTTGTCAAAACAAGTCACCCCTGAATATGAATACATAAGTTCACCCCTGCCTGGAATGGCAAAGGATTTACTGATAATACGTTGATTAATCGCTTGTATCTTTTACATACGGCTTTGTCAAAAGTTTTTATGTATGAAGGTTTACTAAGAAGATCAGAATTCCCCAACATCTAGGTGCCCGTGTTAAAACAACACACTTTGTTCAAAGGATTAGTAGATAATATGTTGATTGATTGTTCATTGTCGTGTTACTAAGATGAATGGATATCGTGATCATTACAGCGGCTTTTTCAGCTGACCAATGATACATGCTGACAAATGATAAATGCTGATACATGCTGACCAATGATAAATGCTGACAAATGATAAATGCTGACCAATGATACATGCTGACCAGTGATACATGCTGACCAATGATACATGCTGACCAGTGATACATGCTGACCAATGATACATGCTGATACATGCTGACCAATGATAAATGCTGACCAATGATACATGCTGACCAATGATACATGCTGACCAATGTGAAACAGTAGTCATGAGAGACAAACAATGAAGGATATCTATTTCTCCCACAACACTGCACATATTTTTGACTATGTATTCAGCGGCGTCCGTCCCGATTCTTGTTAACGCGAAATCTCATGAACTGTTGTACCCAATGTCTTCAGATTTGGTGACAGCCTACATTAGGAGATTACCCAGACACCAGTCGATTTGGGTGACCTTGACCTTATCTTCAAGGTCACCACGACACTTTTACCACTTTTCAACTCTTGTTCACGCGATATCTCATGAACTGGTGTACCCATTGTCTTGAAATTTGGTGACAGCCTACATTAGGGAATTATAGGCGTAAACATTCCCTCTGGATTATGGTTGCCTTTTTCCTGTGGATTCCACGGACACATACAGAATGGAAATGAAATTTTTTAACTAAGTCATAGCTATCCCTAGTGGTATGCTTAAAAGAGTTATGCAGTTATCTCCCTTGGCTGTGACGTCACAACGTAGTTGTTGAAAACCTCTCATAATTTTTCTGTATGGACAACACAGAAGACGTGTTTACAGAGTGGAAGTGTTTTCAAAATTTTCTTCAAATTTTCCAAGAACTACAAGACTCCCGGTCATTAGTGTCGCATTGGTTGATGTTTCTGACCATCGCATTCTATATTTTGTACATATTGCTTGCGTTTTATTCTACTATATTGAACTCTACTTTTCCCACTAAAAAGTATATGTCACAAGCGCGTATCTGCACGTGTTTTGTCTGTGCCTCGTGCTTCACGGGTCCTCCCTGCTCTATTTATAATGATGTTCATTGTGTCTATAACTTTCCCTGTAGTCCGTGTTCCCCGTGGCGTTTCGACCCATGGCTACAGATACTCAGTCTGTTGATCTGTCGGCGTCCACGGGACAAACACAGACACAGCTGGCTATCCACCTCTCCCTGCTCTTTTTATAACGATGTTGGTTGTGTCTATAACTTTCCATGTAGTCCGTGTTCCCCATGGCGTTTCGACCCATGGCCACGGCTACTCAGTCAGTTGACCTGTCGGCGTCCACGGGACAAACACAGACACAGCTGGCTATCCATCCAACCGTCCCAGACGAGACCACGGGTCGAGGTCTGTCGGACTGGTTCATACTGGCGTCAGGTATGGTTCCATGGCTTCGGACCTTCCCGTCCCGCCACCCCCCTATGCTGGGGACCCACGGGATCCCTCAGCCAAACGGATCTTCCGGCCACGCCATAGCCACGGCTGGTCGGTGGGCTGGCGTCACGGGATACGTCCCGGATCAGCCTGACACGGATGTCGACGAGGTCGACGGACGGCAACCTTTTTTTTTGCCTGCATGGTGGGATTGTAGCCGCTACAGCTCAACGGCAGCAGCAGTGGTTCGGGCACGCCCGGGTCGTAAGCCGTACAACTCGTATAACGCCGGCAAGAGCCATAGTCTAGAGTCTACATTTTGTAGACAGTTGAGATGCTTTATAGTCTGTACCCGGGAAGTCGAGTATCAACCATTGAGTGAGCGAATTAAGTTTTCACGCCTCACTGAGCAATATTCCAGTTTATGGCGGCGACCTGTAATTCATCAAGTCTGGACCAGACATTCCAGTGATCAACTGGAGCTTCGATCTATGCACTTGGTGAGGTGTGGTGACATTGTAGGTCACATCCATTTTTTGTATCAGTCAACCAATCATAATCTCTTGTTTTAATTCTAGCTAAATAGTTTGAAAAAATCAAATGTTTGACAGCAGGTGAGGTGAAGTGAGGTGAAATTGGGTTTAACGTAGTATTTGAGAATATTTCGCTCTTATGACGATGTGCATGCGTGTGTATGTGTATGTGCGGCTGCTTGTACTAGCCCAGACTTCAGCTGGGTTTATAGTGCAAGCCCACTGAGATACCATACTGCAGTGAAGCATGAATTCCCCACTCGGACACATTATACTGACTCCGAGGTGCCCAGTCCTTGTTGTACCCATTAATGCCGAGCCCCAGGCAGGGACGAACAAGTACCATATTTTAACGTCTTTTCGTATGACGCGGTCTGGTATCGAACCCGCGACCTTCCGCTCTAACCACTACACTATGGAGGTGGTTTCTACGCACTTGGGATACGGTGACATATTATGTTCCCCACGTCAGCAAGCCTCACCACCCAATCCTATTGGTCACCTTTTACGACAAGTCGACGGGTCTCACGTGCCATCTCTTTGCCATCCTTGTCTGGTTAATGGCATTTGCAATTCTCACCTTAACTCCTGGTATAAGGGACTC